CTTACTATTGTATGCAGGCATGCATGTATGTATATATATTTTATGTAGATGAAGACAGGTATATATGGCACAATCTCAGCTCACTGCAACCTCCCACTCCCAGGCCCAAGTAATTCTCATGCCTCAGCCTCCCTAGTAGCTGGGACTACAGGCACATGCCACCAAGTCCTGCTAATTTTTGTTAGTTTTTAGTAAGAGACGGGTTTCACCATGTTGGCCAGGCTGGTCCTGAGCTCCTGGACCTCAAGTGATCTGCCTGCTCAGCTCCCCAAAATGCTGGTATTACAGGGGTGAGTCACCATGCCTGGGGTCTACTCTTTTCTTTGAGGAAATTGAAGCTTACATCATGGATTTGTCAGATCCAGAGGTGACTTGAAACATTCCTCAGGAATCCCACTCTTTGGCCTAGACTTCTGTTTACAGAAGATTGACCAACTCAGGAGCCATTTTAGGGTGTGGAATCATAGTGTGCTTGATATGGCAGATGTTTCTTCCTGCTTCATGCTGGGGGTGGAGGGAAAAGGAGAAATTCGGTTGGAGGAAGTAGATCATGTATTTCAGGGGAAAAAAAGTTAATCTGAGTTTCAGCTACAAGTGAGAAGACTGGATAAGTACTACAGGAGATTGTAGTCTTCTGATTTGCTATCTTTACTTAACATAATATTTCAAAAATATTTCAAAAACATAATATTTCATCCTTGTTGTTGCATGTAATTGTATTTCATCATTTTTACTATTGCACAAGATTTCATTGGGTGAATATGCCATAATTATTTTACTACTCTTTTTTAAATATACCTTGGTTGTTTCCATATTCAGCTGTATAAGGGCTGTTAGGAGCATTCTTGTCTGTGTGGAAAAGTTTTCCTGGGGCATATACCCAGGGACTGAATTGCTATGTTGAAAGGTATGCAAATGTTCGACTTTTCCAAAAATATGCCAAATTGCTTTTGAAAGCAGTTGTACCAATATTCACTCCCTACAGCAATGTATAGGAGATTCTGATGAGGTACATTCTTGTCAACACATGGCACAGCCAAAACTTCGTAACATTTTTGCCAATCTTGATGGTACCCACTTCACTGTTGTTGCCTTGTTCTTTGTACCTTGTATATTTACTTATATGCATCTATTTTCTACTTTATCTATAGACAAAAGCATGGCATTATTTTACGTATTTTACAGTATTCTGACACCTATGTTGAATCCACTCATCTATACCCTGAGAAATGAAGAGGTAAAAAATGCCATGAGAAAGCTCTTTACATGGTAAGAAACTGCAGGTGGATAATGAGTGGTAAAGCAGGAAATCAAAATAAATTTATTTTTGTAAGTGAAACAAACCAAGCCTTACTTTTTTCTATCATGTATAATTGTATTCCATCTTAAGCATTAGTTCATCTTCACTGACTTTTTTTTCTTTTTTGATATGGAGTCTCAAAAAAAAAATCACGCAGGCTGGAGTGCAGTGGCACGATCTCAGCTCACTGCAACCTCCACCTCCTGGGTTCAAGTGATTCTTGTGCTACAGCCTCCTGTGTAGCTGAGATTACAGGCACCTGTCACCATGTCCAGCTCATTTTTGTATTTTTAGTAGAGATGGAGTTTTTCCATGTTGGCCAGGCTGGTCTTGAACTCCTGGCCTCAAGTGATCTGCCCACCTCGGCCTTCCAAAGTGCTGGGATTACAGGCATGAGCCACCACGCCCAGCCTTCATTGACTTTTATTATTTATTTAGTATTTTCACTTGAATTGCATAATTTGATTATAAAACTACTATATGAAATATACATGGTATGAATGATTATTTTTCCTATTTTAGAAACGAGGAAACTCTGTTTACTGATGTGGTTAGTCAATTAATCAAGATTATCTGGTTTTGAAATGCCTAAACCGAAGTTTAAAATGAGTTATTTTTGATCCATCATCCAGATCTTTAAGGAGCAATCCATATTGACATCATTTGAGTCAGTGTGATAATTAATTGAGTTGTAGAAACATGAGGCAAAATGTTACTTAACATTTAGCCATATATAGCAGGCTCTTCCGTATCCAGGTCTGGCTTCTGTTTCTTTTTGTCACTCTGTGACATCAGCAATATCGCTGATACACTATAGCAGAGAGGTTAGGAGTTTGGCTCTGGAGACAGAGCAATCTGAGTTAATATGTTATAAAACATAATTATTCATAATTATTTAATGATCATCTATGAACTTATTATCAATTTAAAACATTCCTAATAACCTTGTGTCTATGTGTCTTCTCTATTTTATTTCTTTGCTTCACATGTAACTCAATATTCTCTGTTTGGTTTACAGACTCCTTACTTTATGAAAATAGCTTTAACATATGTGTATATATACCTAACCCATATATTGCTTAATTTTTCTTATTTCTAATTTTTAAAAAATGGTGTTATACATTTGTAGTCTCTGATTTGCTATCTTTACTTAACATAATATTTCAAAAATATTTCAAAAACATAATATTTCATCCTTGTTGTTGCATGTAATTGTATTTCATCATTTTACTATTGCACAGAGATTTTCATTGGTGAATATGCCATAATTATTTTACTACTCTTTTTTAAATATACTTGGTTGTTTCCATATTCAGCTGTATAAGGGCTGTTAGGAGCATTCTTGTCTGTGTGGAAAAATTTCCTGGGGCATATACCCAGGGACTGAATTGCTATGTTGAAAGGTATGCACAATGTTCGACTTTCCAAAAATATGCCAAGTTGCTTTTGAAAGCAGTTGTACCAATATTCACCTCCTACAGCAATGTATAGGAGATTCTGATGAGGTACATTCTTGTCAACACATGGCACAGCCAAAACTTCGTAACATTTTTGCCAATCTTGATGGTACCACTTCACTGTTGTTTGCCTTGTTCTTTGTACCTTGTATATTTACTTATAGTGCATGCATTTTCTTACTTTATCTATAGAAAAAGCATGGCATTATTTCTATATGATTCTGACACCTATGTTGAATCCACTCCATCTAACCCTGAGAAATGAAGAGTAAAAAATGCCATAGAAAAGCTCTTTACAGGTAAGAAACTGCAGGTGGATAATGAGTGGTAAAGCAGGGAAATAAAAATAATTTATTTTTGTAAGTGAAACAAACCAAGCCTTACTTTTTTCTATCATGTATAATTGTATTCCATCTTAAGCATTAGTTCATCTCACTGACTTTTTTTGATATGGAGTCTCAAAAAAAAAATCACGCAGGCTGGAGTGCAGTGGCACGATCTCAGCTCCTGCAACCTCCACCTCCTGGGTTCAAGTGATTCTTGTGCTACAGCCTCCTGTGTAGCTGAGATTACAGCACCGTCACCATGTCCAGCTCATTTTTGTATTTTTAGTAGAGATGGAGTTTTTCCATGTTGGCCAGGCTGGTCTTGAACTCCTGGCCTCAAATGATCTGCCCACCTCGGCCTTCCAAAGTGCTGGGATTACAGGCATGAGCCACCACGCCCAGCCTTTCATTGACTTTTAAATTG